TTGATAATGCATTAAAGGCCTTTGTCAACCTTGGAATCAGAAGAAGTCATAATGTTCCATATAAACCTGTCAGGGCAGCCAATCAACAAGCGTTTGACGTGTGTACCCTTAGAAGCCATCACAGCCATGCCTACTAATGGCATGGCTGTGATTGGCCAATGCAGCATGTGACCCAGCCTCTATATAAGCTTAGTGTAGGGAGAGGATGCTGCAGCTGTGAGGGACAGCTTACGAAAGAATTCTGGTGTTGAATCTGCAAACTACAGCGATTATTTTTGTGGGTGCTATACTACATTTTTGTACCCTGCCCTGATCTCAGTTCCACAGAGAAATAAGCAGTCTGTTTGTTAGGCGGGCACTTTTAACTACATGTGTGTCAGGCACATTACTTTAATCCTGTTCTGGGAGCTCAGTGGGCAACATTTAGGCATTTTTCAATACTGCTGTGACATTGCAGTTTGACAAATTCACATTTTTTGGTGCTAAAAATTAAATTTGGGTCCTGCACATCATATCCGAGAGTCAAATACTGTGGTTACATCGCAGATTGACCAATTCACATTTTTTTTGTGTGCTAAATAGTACATTTGCGGCCTGCGGTGCATTTTTTGCAGTCCAATAAAACTGTGAAATACTACTGTTACATTGTTGGTTGACAAATTCACATTTTTTGAGACAGTGAAGTAACTGTATTAATTACGCCTGTCACACTATTGTGTGACCTCTAGACATTTTTATTTTTAGGACACCGGCACTGCCTTATGGTCAGTGAACGTAATTGTTGACTATTGGCGGTTACATTGTCGCCTGACATAAACCATCTGTTAGTTTGGTGGGTAAACGCAAAGAATGAGGAGAGCGTCACAACAACCACAATCTGAAGCGAGACATAAACGTTCTAAACCTGAAAAAACAAATAACTAGTGTATAGGCGCTTCGTGAATATAAAGATAAAGGTGGTGGTAGATATAAGAGTGTTTCCTCAAACACAATAAAGACGTGAATAACAAAGACAAAATTTATATCAAACCACACAAAGTGAAATAGTATGCAAAAATACAACCTGAGCTTGTCAGAATAATCAGGTAATATCTAAAAGCATAAAATAAAATACAACATAGTGTAATCTGTATGAAGACAGTAAAGATAGGGCAGAACAAACTATCACTCACATTATGCAGGCTCAAGGGTGCCAATACAGGCAAACGAGGTTCCCAGAAAATAGATGGAGGAATTTTCCAAAAAGTATATATTTATTGAATAATATAAAATTCAAAATTACAGGGCTCAGGGTACTAGGGGAGTGGAATCCAAATCATACAAACAAAAGGATATCCACTTACCCCAAAATAATGACCGAGAGCAAACACACAGATAAGAATAAAATACAGCTGGATAATAAAAAAATATCAGCAATAGCAGCAGACGCGTTTCGGCTCAAAAAGCCTTCTTCAAGTGCTGGTGTTAAAGTCTCCGGAGCTTGTTTAAATACACTAAATGATTGCAGTCACATGTGTGTAGTCTCCGTTTAATTCCGTCACTTCCGGTATTTTCGAATGACGTCACTTCTGGTTATCGGCGTTTGGAACGCATGGTGAAACGCATAATGGAACGCATGGTGGAACGCAAACATAACCATGCCGTTTTTTTGCCGCCGGATGAGAAAAGTTCATAATATATGAAATGTAAATACAAAACAAACAGGAAATAAATAATGGAAAGAGAAAATGATTAATTCATTTAAGTTAGTGCATTAAATGTATTCTTAAAATATGTATGAGGCAATAAACATATTCTCTTTATATGCCTCGTTTGCCTGTATTGGCACCCTTGAGCCAGCAATACAGAGCCTGGGACGGCTCTGCATAATGTGAGTGATAGTTTGTTCTGCCCTATCTTTCCTGTCTTCATACAGATTACACTATGTTGTATTTTATTTTATGCTTTTAGATATTACCTGATTATTCTGACAAGCTCAGGTTGTATTTTTGCATACTATTTCATTTTGTGTGGTTCTAAACCTGAGCACAACCTTCATGACCAGGCATCTACATGCAAAGCACGAGCTGCAGTGGAGTAAGCACCTGTCCGTACAGGTAGGGGGTTAACTTTTTGAGGGCCCAGACCAGGGCCAAGCACTCCACTGCCACATAACTCACTTCCCTGGGTAGTAATTTTCTGCTCAGATATGCGACAGGGTGCCTCCCCAAGTTGGCTCAGCACAGCCCCCAGTGCAAACATGGAAGCGTCAGTGTGGACAAGAAAACGTTTGTTAGGTACTGGGGCAGCCAAGACATGGGGCATTAACAAGTGCTTGCTTCAATGCTTTAAACGCGGCTTCACAAGCTGGAGAACACAAGACCTGCTTAGGTAAATTCTTCTTAATCAGGTCCATCAGGGGCTTGGCGATCACACTATAGTCGGGGACAAAACGTCTATAGTACCCTGCAGTCCCCAAGAAGGCTAGTACCTGGGTCTTAGTGAGGGGTGTGGGCCAGTTAGCTACCGCCTCTACCTTGGCTGGCTCTGTTCACTGGCTCCCACATCCTACTCTGTGCCCCAGGTACTGTACCTCAGCCATAATTAGATAACACTTATCTGGCTTCAAGGTCAGACCTGCGCCCCCGAATCTTGTCCAGAACCACGTGCTCCTCCCAAGACCCACTGTAGATCGTGATGTCATCCAGGTATGCACAAGCAAAATCCTGGAAGCCATCGAGGAGCCTATCCACCATACACTGGAAGGTAGCCGGGGCATTTTTCATCCCGAATGACATGACGCTAAATTGGTGCAGGCCAAACAGGGTGACAAATGCAGACTTAGGGATAGCATCCTCGGCCAGGGGAATCTGCCAATAGCCCTCTATGGTAGTGAGATAGCGTCCCCTGGCTATGCGATCTAGCATCGGGTAGGCGTCAGTGGTGGTCTACTTGTTGAGTCGCCTGTAGTCCACGTAGAACCGGGTGGTCCCATCTTTCTTAGGCACCAGGACTACAGATGAGGCCCAAAGACGGTCTGAGTGCTCAATGACCCCTAACTGGGTAATCCTCTGTTTTTCCTTCCACATTCATTCTCAGACTGCTTCAGGGATACGGTAAGGGGGCTGTCGCAGGGGTGTCTGTCCAGGGGTCTCTACCCTGTGCACAGCTTGGGTCATATAGCCTGGTTCTTGGGAGAAAGTCGCATGTTTCTCCCACAGAAGCCTCTTACACACACTGAAGCAACATTCTCCTGTCTTTCTTGGTACTCCTTCAGCATGTTCACATGAAAGGATCGTTGGATCCTTTCATCTGCACAGCTGACAATGACATAAGTAGTATCACATACCTGGGCTACTACTTTGTACTGGCCCTGCCAAGATGCTTGCATCTTGTCAGTCTTCACCGGCTTGACCACTAAGAGTACTCCACCAACATGGCCAGTGCTGCTGACGCCGTTCTCAGCCTTACTTGAAAAAACGCTTCAGGCGATGATGGAAGAGGATGTGGCACAGGAGGAAGAGGGCTCATGTCCACAGTTATCAGGCCAGTCATTTAAAAGTGGCTCGGAGGGTGGGTTCCTGCACCAGCATAGGCCAGGTACACAATTGTCTAGCCAGGGCACAGTTCTGGAGGATGAGGAACCATGTTCACAGCAGGGTGGCACCCAACGCAGCTCGTGGACATCACTAGAGCGTGTCTGGGGGGGATACAGAGGACACAGACGATACACCTCCCACAGAGGACAGCTTGTCCTGGTCTCTGGGCAGCCTGGCACACATGAGCGACTACATGCTGCAGTGCCTGCGCAACGACTGCCGAGTTCCCCACATTCTAACTTGTGCTGATTACTGGGTGGCGACCCTGCTGGATACCCGTTACAAGGACAACGTGCCGTCCTTAATTCCCTCACTGGAGCGTGATCGGAAGATCCGCAACTACAAGCGCACGCTGGTAGACACGCTGCTGAGGGCATTCCCAACTGACACCGGGGGCTCAGTGGAAGCACAAGTCGAAGGCAGAGGGCGCCAACACAGCTGGGGCACTGCCAGCACCTCAGAAGGCAAGGTTAGCATGGCCGAAATGTGGAAACGCTTTGTCAGCACGCCACAACAACCAGCACCACCAGCTGATATGGAACGTCTTAGCAGCAGGCAGCATTTCAGCAACATGGTGCAACAGTACGTGTGCACACGCCTACACGTACTGACTGATGGGTCTGCCCCGTTCAACTTCTGGGTCTCAAATTGTGCACATGGCCTGAGCTTGCCCTTTATGGCTTGGAGGTGCTGGCCTGCCCTGCAGCCAGTGTATTGTCTGAACGTGTGTTTAGCACGGCAGGGGGTGTTATCAAAGAAAAGCGCAGACGCCTGTCCACAGCCAATGTGGACAAGCTCACGTTTATTAAAATGAACCAGGCATGGATCCCACCAGACTTGTTTGTACCTTGTGCAGAATAGACATTTATACTGGCCTCACCCAGCCTCCTCCTCCTAGTTCAAGATTATTATTTTTAATTTTGATGTATTTTATGTTATTTTAAGTTATTTCCCTGTCCACATTTGTTTGCAGGGCACTTGTCCTACTCTTACCCCCATTTTACTTCCTTTTGCAGCCCTCTAGCCCTTTCCAGGACTTTTTAGAGCCATCCTCATTGACTTCAATGGGTTTCGGGGTCAAGTTCGAGTCCCAACTCAAACTTTTTGCCGAAGTTAGGCCGAACCCGAACATCCGCTCAACTCTAATCACAACCTGTGTGTACATTCCTTTTCTGCTATCATTGACACAGAGCTACCTATGCGTGTGTTCAATGAGGTCAACTTTCACAGGCATTATAGGAAACCAAGGCTTTCTGCAACACTCCAGCCTACGCTGGATGCAGCCTTTTCCTTCCTTGGAAATAGCCTTAAACTTTGAAACAAGCTTGCTGAAAAATAAACCAGTATGTCTTACGGGGGAGAGAGAGGGGGAGATATATAGATATATAGATATATATATATATATAAAAAAAAAATTGTGGAAACTTGCAGCACCTGAGGTTGCTAGTTGGTCTCCCATCCCATACAATTACTAACCAGGCCAGAGTCTGGATGGCTTCTATGATCGGACGAGATCAGGCACTTTCAGACTGGTATGGCCATAAGCTTATTTAGGAAAGAAAGACTACCTGACCTGTCTCTCTCTCAAGGACAGGTAAATACTGGGGAGCTCAGGGTGGAGTTGCCCTTTATAAGGCTAGGAGGGGAGAGGACTGGGGATGGAGACTGCATTTAGTTTTTTTAACCTTTTTAATGCTACCTGTCCTGTGTGAAATGGGCAACTACATCTTGTTAACATTTGGTATTCTTTTCCTTGACACTGGTTTGACAAGGAGCTGCATTTAGTCGGGTTCTCATTCCCATGTGGGTACAAGTAACTGTGGGGAGCTAACATTGCTTCTCTACTGGATTGATTCCGGAGGTGTACAACACTTGTTGCCACCGCAGTCACACGTATCCCCTCACATAAAGAGGGGGATTTAAGGGCTTCATTGCCTCTTACAATCTCCTCTTACGTTCTCAGAGTTCCATAGCTGAAAAGAGACTTGCGTCCATCAAGTTCAGCCTTCCTCACATTTGTTTTTTTGCGGTTGATCTAAAAGAAGGCAACAAACAAAACAAAACCCAGTTTGAAGCACTTCCAATTTTGCAACAGACTAGGAAAAAAAAATCCTTCTTGACCCCAGAATGGCAGTCAGATTTATCCTTGGATCAAGCAGTTATTACTCTACATTGAAAAAGTATACCCTTACATATTCTGTTTTTGCAAATATGCATCTAGTAGCTGTTTGAACATCTGTGTGATCTCTGATACAACCACTTCTTCAGGCAGAGAATTCCACATCCTTATTGTTCTTACAGTTAAAAAAACACACACACACACACACACACACACCCAGACTTTTGTATAACCGAACGCACATGTTCAAACAATTGGCAGCCATTTTGTCTCCCGAACGCGGGAAACTGGTACATGGTTGTTGACATCGTGGAACGGTTTTCGGAACGCGACCCTGCGAACCCCCCGAGAAACTGGTACTGCTGCCCATCCAACTTCCCGAACGGTTAGGAGAACGGTTTTCGGGAGGCATAAACTACCGAACAGGGGGAGCATTCGTAGCCTAACAGCCAGGGAATGGATTAATCTATGTTCGTGTGAGAACCCCCAAAGATGACCGGTCGTTGCCTTGTTTTCTCTGGAAGGGTTTTGTGGCATCACATCGTGGCCGACCAGTCAAAACTTCATCCGAATTACGTTCCCGAACCACCAAAGGGATCTGAGTGATATTTTGGCAAAGTGTGTGCTCAGATCCAAGCTATTTGTGATATGACTTTTGTGGGGTTCTGAAGTTACTAAAATGTATTTGTGGGTGTTTTTAAATATTGTATATTCTTCTGTACCTGAGATAATTAAGTTATAACTTTTTCTCACGCAATTATCTCAGGCAGAGGATACTGGGAAGAAAAGCCCTGCAATTTTGACTTGGAAACCCCATGCTAGGGGCAATGTATAAAAGCTGTGTGTGGCAGGAATAAAACCAGTTGTACGCCCAGAACTGTGTGTCGTCCAGTTGCTGGGGAGGAGGTGGGATATTTCTTTGATGTTTTTCTTGTTCCTGATTATACTCTGGTGGATCCAGCTGAGAAAAGTCCCTGCTAGGATTAGTGCTCCGCTACACAGGACATGATCAGAACACTTTTTTTTCTCTCTCCACTCTCTGGGCCCACGAGTAATATCGGACCGATAGGCACAAGTAAATTAGTGTGATATAGCCTTCAGTAGTCTAAAGAAGATAGTGCTAGCATGGTTTATCACCCAGCGCAGCTAATTGTTTCTTACATAACTGCAGGGGACCTAATATCCCATGGCGCAGATCACACCACCTTAGGGTACTCTGACAAAAACATATTTCAATTGCTTTTATTAAAGAAACTCATTTTTAGATGGGGTTGCGTTGGAGAATAAATATTATCCCACTGGCTATTTTAGTAACCATCCCACAGAGCGTAAGGCTGGAGTGGCGATTTTACTTGACTCTTGCTTGCAAATTTTGGAAGCAGAAAGGGAGGTACCTTTTTGTGAAAGACAAGATCACAGAGCAGAGGTATATCTTTGCTTCCATATTTGTGCTAAATCAAGCACAATTTATATGCATAACTATTGCAGAATTACCGATTTTTGCGGTGAGAATTCTAATACTGGGCAAAGGTTTTATTGTCCCTATGGATCCAGTATTGAACTCAACAGGATACAGCAGTACATCTCGGTTAGCAATTCAAAGTACTCTTGGTAGATGGTTGGAGGCCTAATATATCCAGAGAAGAAAGATTATACTCACTACTGTTGAAATGGCATTTTTAATCAGGAATGTACTGGGACACCTAAGTGAGCACTTGGCATCACAGGGGATGTAGTTCTGCCATGTGAAATGCATCTGTTATGATTCATCCCCTTTGCTCTTGCTTTATGATAATAATGCTACTGAGTAGAGCAAGTATTGCTGTTATGGTTTATGTTCACCCACAATACTCCAGAATAGATAATTTCTTTAATCAACATGAGGGACTCAAGTTGCTACAGAAGGCTGAAATAGACCCCTCAACTTGGTCAGATCACTGTTCACTTAGAATAACATTATATTCACCACTTTTTCGTCCAGTGACCCAGACTTGAAACTGAATGACACTTTAATATTGGACCTGAAAATTGCCAAACCAGTAACTTAACGCCTGGAGATGTATTTCGAGCAGAACACCATGGAAAGAATGTCAGACATGACAATCTGGGAAGCTCATTAGAGCACAATTCAGGGTCTCAAACTAGTTGGCACATTACAAACAAAATTAAACTTACAGATGTTATATTTTGACTTTTCCCATTTGCCAAGAGTTCTCTAAATGTCAAGTTAACAAAGCTCTTAATACACACACACACATACACACATACACACACACACACACACACACACACACACACACACAAACGCTAACAAAGGGGGGAAGCTGTTAGCAACAAGGTTACAAGGTAAACAAACTCAAGCACAAGTCCACAGAGTAACCAATTGTGAGTGAATTCCAGCATTATTCAACACTCTATAATATTCCCCATCTTGACAGGGGAGTTCTTTCCACAGAGATGGCAGGTAGAAATGAACAATACCCAGAGGACCATTCCCTGTGTACAGTTACCCAAAGAGAATGCAGAAATGCTTGACACCCCAATACTCAGGTAGATGTTCAGGTGGAGTGTAATAATGCAAAATCAGGCAAAGCACCTGAATTGGAAACTCCATGGGCTACTATAAAAATGTTTTCTTAGAATTTGTATTAAAACCTTGTTTTCATTGTACACCAGTTCTATACTGGTTCCACCAGGTCTAGATTTGACAGATTAGAACATTAGAGTGAGACAGGGCTCAACAAATCCCAGGCGCCAGATCGCCATGGCGATTAAGAATTTTGCCCTGGCGTCTGGGATTGGTCAGCCCTTGCCCTCCTCCTCCTGTACTGCAACGCTGCGCAAGCTCTATGTCCGCCCGTGCGCCGGGAGGAAGTGAAGTGAACTGTACATACTTCCTTCCGGCGCTCTGGCCGCGCAGGGGAACCACAAGCTGGCAGGACACCAGGTAAAATCTGCTCCGCTTGCTGCCCGCCCCTATTCCACTGAGCACGCCCCCAGACCACCCATATTCCACTGAGCCGGCTGCCAGCCCCTTCCCCTGCGCAGCCTCAGAGCAAGGAGAAAGTAATTAAAGTTAGGAGGGGGGAGTCTGAACCGAGCGGCAGCCCACTCCCATCAGCCGCCTTCTGCCCAGTCCTACTAGACCCCAGGGAAGCCACACTCCTGAACCCAAAGGGTAGGAAACAGGAGGGTGGCTAAAGATATGTTTGTTTTTTTATGTGGGTATCTGTGACATTGCGTGTATGTCTCTATACACTTACTGTGTGTATCTAGAAATCTTTGTGTGTGTGTCTGCCTGTCTCATTGTCTGTGGGTCTGTCAGTGAGTGTGTGTGTGGGTCTGTCAGTGAGTGTGTGTGTGTGTGTGTGTTTGTGAGTGTGCATCAGTCCAGGTGTCTGTTAGTGAGTGTGCATGTTTAGGTCACCAGCCCCCCTCCGATCAATTGGAAATGGTGTTTTTACTCACCGTGCCAGTCTCCATAGCTGAGATTATCAATCTTGATGATCTCAGCCAAGCCAATGCTTTCCTGTAGCATTGGGAGCTTTTGAGCATGCACAGTAAAATGCTGCACCAGTCAGCATCTCCTCATAGAGATGCATTAAATCAGGGCTGTCCAACCTGCATCCCCCTAGATGTTGCTGAACTACAACTCCCATGATTCCCTGGCTATCTGTTTCATTGAAAGAATCATGGGAGTAGTAGATTGGCAACATCTAGGGGGATGCAGGTTGGACAGCCCTGATTTAATGCATCTCTATGAGGAGATGCTGACTGGTGCAGCATTTTACTGTGCATGCTCAAAAGCTCCCAATGCTACAGGGGGGCCGCAGGTTGGACAGGCCTGAATTAAATCAATGCATCTCTTTGCAGAACATTCTGCGCCTCCATGCATATAGGAGACACTTTTGAGTGACTGCCACTAGATGTTACTAGGCAGCAATGTAAACACTAACTATTCTCTAGAAAGGCAGTGTTTACGTGGAAAAGCCTGCAGGGACAGGTTATAGACACCAGAGCCTCTACATTAGCCTGTAGTGGCTCTAGTGACTATAGTGTTCCTTTAAGAATTGCATTTTCATTGTTGGAAAAAAAAAAAAATGGCTCATTATTTTTTAAGCTGGCTCCTAGATCCAAAGCAAATTTGTCAAACCCTGGAGTGAGAAATGTAGAGCTATATGACAGAACACCAGCTGATTGTCTACTCCCTAGCTAAACTCAAGATACATCTAGACTAACCTTGGGTGCTTTAGAGAAACTCATTAATTCTTTGTTATGCAATATATATGTCTATTGTATTGTAATGTACTTTACTATTTTGTGAAATATACAGTTTTTGTATTCAAAACGATGTATTGGTGTATGCCATGTACACCTATGTAGACTTTGAAAATTCATTTTAAAAAAAAAAAAGAACACACACACAC